CACAATGTGGACCCTGACCAGGACCATTCACAATGTGGACCCTGACCAGGACCATTCACAATGTGGACCCTGACCAGGACCGTTCACAATGTGGACCCTGACCTGGACCGTTCACAATGTGGACCCTGACCAGGACCATTCACAATGTGGACCCTGACCTGGACCATTCGCAATGTGGACCCTGACCTGGACCATTCACAATGTGGACCCTGACCAGGACCATTCACAATGTGGACCCTGACCTGGACCATTCACAATGTGGACCCTGACCTGGACCATTCACAATGTGGACCCTGGCCAGGACCATTTGCAATGTAGACCCTGATCAGGACCTTTCACAATGTGGACCCTGACCAGGACCATTCAGCGAGAAGAAGCCGCCAGGCTGGGAGGCGTGACACAGTTATTTGTGCACTTTTTAGGGAGAACCATTCTGTTCCCATATGATGGATACTCCAGTCACTCTCCACTGCCTTGGACCTGCGGTCCTTTGTCCACCTTGTAAAGAAAATGCTTAGAAGACAGCTCTGAACATCCCCTCCCCAAGGACTCCACCCACAGGACACACAGATGAAAGGTGGGTGTGTCGGAGAGAGTGGCCAGCACCCATGCTCCCAGAACAGCCTTCGGAAGGACTCTCACTTGGGGAAACCTCATGTCAGAGCTCTCTGTAGGTCGATCAGCATCAGAGATCATTGCCTGACGAACCCTGGAAGAGCACGGGCCTTTTTAAAGCTGATTTTTCTCTTCATGGTTACTTGATGGCATTTGCTCTTGCTTGGGGACATTTTTCCTGGATTTGAGGTAACCATGGGCTAACTGAAGACTTCCCCTTGTGTCACTCCGGGTTGGATATGGGTCACTTCCAAGAAATTCTGCTGGATCCTTGGTTTGCCTCTTCTCTATGTCACTGAGAAAATAACTTATTCTCTCGTCACAGTGTTGACAAAACCCAAGGCATTTCTGGAAAAAAGCATGTAAGTGCTGGGCTAAGGGAAATAAATAACAGAGCAGTGTGCAGGGAAGCTGAGGTGGCGAAAGAATGGGGCTTGTGGACATGGTCTTTCATAATCAGAATGCTTTGAGGCCATGGAGCTGGGTCACTAATATTAATGACACACTGTACATGACCCTGACTTCTCCATATCCTCCTGTGTCTGCTTTCACTCAACCTTGTAGAGGCCCACCATGCCACCATTCCCAGCTAGGAGGTGACATTTGTAGCATGACAGACTGCCAAGCAATTGAAAATAAAAATACACTAAAACCTAATGGCACTCACTCGATGTATGCCAAACGGATCCATCAGCCGTGACGCCAGTGTGCACTCCTTTCCCTAGCAAGTCACCGAGACAGCATCGAGACATTGAGTGCGCCAAACCCTCACCCCGAAGGTCGGAAACAAGGGACACCAGAGACCCTGGGGCCCACCCAAGGGAGTGAGTGACCTTTACTACTTGCAGTTTATGTTTGTTAATAAAAAATAAAACCAAAAGCCTTTATATGAACCCATTCTTGAGGTCTGTGTGGTATGTTCTATTGATTTACGATAGACACTCAGGGGGTGTAGAGGAGTGGTCCTGCTTCTCTCCTAGTACCTGGTCTCACGGCATTTCAGGAATAAACCACATTTAGAAACCCAATCACCAAGTCCCTTTTATCCCCCATCTACCCATCTTGTAGGTGATGTTGGATTGAAGTTTTAGTATCCTGGATGCTACTGATACAGGTCTGGGTAGACACTGTTTTACTGGTGCTGGTGCTGGTGGGGGTAGTGGTGAGTGTGTGTGTGTGTGTGTGTGTGTGTGTGTGTGTGTGTGTGTGTGTGCATGTGCAGTATTGTGCATGCAGTAGAGGGCAGAGGTTGATGTTGGATCTCTCTCTGTCTCTGTCTCTCTGTCTCTGTCTCTCTCTCTCTCTCTGTCTCTCTCTCTCTCTGTCTCTCTCTCTCTGTCTCTCTGTCTCTCTCTGTCTCTCTCTCCTGCTCCTCATCTTGTTTTCTGAGACAGCATTTCTCACTGAACCCGAAGCTGCCTGCTTTAGCTAGATCAACTGACCAGCAAGCCCCCAGGATCTCTGTTCCTCCTGCCAGGATTACAGGCGCAAACTGCCACGTGTGGCATTTACGTAGGTGCAGGGCACCCTAACGGAGCCACTTCCCAGCAGATCTTATGATTTGAAGAATGGTAATGGCCCCTTTGTAGGGAAGAAATTATAAAATAAAAAATAAAAATGTCATCCAACCGGAGACTGGGCTTCATTTGCCAGCGTCTGCAGATGAGCAAGCGAGTAAGCAGCCAGCAGAACTGGCTCCCTGTTTTACAAGCGGTAAGTTTTAGCCACTAACCTGCATCCCACTCACAGAGGACCCATATTTGGTGTGATGTTTTGTTGACGACAGTTGTTATAACTTGTAGTGAAAAGCCCGTGGTTCCACCTTCCCGCTGTCTATCACCTCTGACCTGCCCAAGACCATCTATCCTCCAGATCACAAAATTGGCATGAGTCTTTTCAAGTGTTTCTGACAAGTTACCTCCCCCCCCCACCAGGGAAAAACAGAACACCAATTTTCTAGAGAAAGGTTTCAATCTGTCCTCCTGTCTTCTGCAAAGCATTACAAGATCCAGGGCCATCGAGTGACTCAGAAGGCAGTGTTGCTTGCCACCAGACTTGATGGCCTGAGTTTGGTCCCCAGGCCCCACATGATAGAAGGAGAAACCCCCCACAAGTTGTCCTCTGACTTCTATAGATGCAATATGGCACCTCTCCCCCATACACAGACGTGAGTTCCATCATACAAACAAGAGACACTTTTCACAGTAGCCTTTATTGCCAACAGACTTACACCTAGAGTCACTGAAACAATTAACTATTTAAAAATGGTTGCTCCTCTCAATCTTTGAGCCACGGTTATTCTGTGACCTGGGAAAGAGCCGGTCACAGAAATGTAACAAGGTGCATTTTATAGAAAATGTCTAGTTACACCGCCGGTTCCATGCTTTGGAGACTGTATAGACAATTGCAAAAACCTCATCACCCACGTGGTTTTTAAGTCAGAGGGCCAGAGGGACGGCTCTGGAATCACAAGTGCGTGGGTGGCCAACCCGATGATAAAGGCACGTGTTCCAGTACCTAATAGTAATGAGAAAAGCAGCATTGTTTAGAGTTAGCCTGCCACCTGCCAAACCTGGGCTATGGGGAGGGGATGTTATATACTGCCTCCTCTTGGTTAGCCCAGAAGCTTGGCTGTGGTGTGTCAGGACCATGGTGGAGGGCAACACCATTTCTCTAAAGAGTCCCTGGAGGTGAGGGAGTCCAAGCTGACTGACCACCTTCACCTGTTATATCTTGGGAGCTCCAAATGTTTGTCAAATCATTTAAGTTTGATCATAGAAAAATACTAGAAAACTTAAAGTTGGCTTTGTATTTCTGCTCCTCACAGGTGACGTAGGGAGCCAATTCCATGCCAGTATCAAAGTAGAAAGGGGCAGTTGGCCACACCTCCCAGACAGACTGCTGTTACAGTAACTGTTGGTGTTTCACAAAAGTTAACAGAAACAAAGAAAAAAACTTCAAATATTCATATATCGATATGTATAATTGGCCACCCAAATGCTTTTGAAAAATTATTCAATACCTTGTTACACGTTGAATTTACACTGAGATGTCCCCTGATCCTGGGGCTTTGAACATTAAATGTTTCATTCTGAACACAAAAAAAGTCACATAATTTCACAATACTCATAAACAAGTTATATCCAAAAGTTAGTTGAACAGAGAACATTCAACTGGCAACTCACACATAGTGTTGTTAAACAAAGAAAAAGAAGAAGAAAAGAAACTAGTGGTCCCCAGACTAGTTAGTCTACTATCTCTGCCTTGTGAGCTGTTACTTGACTCCTCTGTGAGTGACTTTGGTTGTGGTAAAGGAATTTCCTCCTGTGTGAACCTGTGTGTCCTTGGGAGCTCGGGTTTCAGATCACCCCATAGTTACACATACATAAAGCTGACCTTTGCCTGTGGTTTCTCTTTCACTCTAAGAGAGGAATAAGTGTGTTGGGGGGCGGGGAGGATCTCAGGGACTCACTTACCCCAGGGCATCTGAGAGGGCAGGGAGAGGAAAGGGAAGGCTCTTCAACCTGCCCTCCAGCATCCTGCTGACATCAGCAGATTCCATGAAGGATGCCCACTTGAACTTTTGCACCCTTTTCTTCCTCGAGGGCTCCACAGCGCCACCTACTGTGCAAAAGCCTTCAGTGCCCCTCCCAGCTCAGTCCTGAGCCTGATCCTTGGTCCATCCATACTGAATGTGGGTTACACCAGCCCTGAAAGGCCTCGCCCCCCACTCCAATGCTCTCACACTTCCCCACGTGTGTGTTGGGGGTGGGGTTCCAATTAGATTATAAACAGGAGCAGATCCACCTTATGTTTCCTTCTCTGTCCCACAAGTCCCTGCAGGGCCTGCTTCATAAGATCTAATGTACAAATGCAGCCAGGAAGGCTGGCAAGCCAAGTGAGGTTATGGCAAGTCAGGCTCGGTCAAGAAAGGATGTGGGTTTGTGGGTGTTTCGTCTGCTCGTCTCTTTTCCTTTTCTCCAACACCTGCCTCTTCCTTGTCATCTGCTGGCTGCCCCCACCCTTCTGTTTAGTTCTGTTGAGATGTGGATTCATGTAGCCTAGGTTGGCCCTTGAGCTAGCCTTTACTACCCAAGTGCTGGGATTACAGAAATGCACCACACACCTGGCTTGCTTTCCTTCTGTCATGGCCCGAAGTGAGACCTCCTCCTTCCCTTTTTTATGCCATGGTCTCACAGCCCACGGTACCCAGAACTCTGCTCCACCAGTCTGCAAATGAGAGCCTATCAGACACCAAGCTCCTGGTGACATTTTCATATATAGCTGTCCGTGTCAGGAAACCCCAGAGGCTCAGTACAGAGAGACCCAGCACAGAACTGATCTATGTCTGGACACATGCATGCTGAGG